GGGGGGGGGGGGGGGGGGGGGGGGAAGGGGCGGGTGTGATTTTAAGCGCATTGCCGTGTTCGTTTAACTTATAAGTCGTGATGAGAGTGAATGGCAAGTGCAATTTGGCCTAATATCTTGGTTTACAGTTGTTTTCAAAAAAATAGTAAATTCTACTGTCAGGAACATGAAAAATTTAAAACGTTTGGAAGTGATACTTGTTTGGTAATGAGTCAGATTGGGTACAGCAGGACATCTACACCACTAGTAATTTTTTCTAAACAAATAAGGTAGTGGTTGGGACCACTTGATTATTTTTCTCAGCAACAGTTGGCTATAAAGTAAAGGGAACCAAAAAACCTACCAAGAAGAACAGGAACGTGCTCACAAACTAAGTGTAGCTTATCGCAGTAATTTTGAAGTAGTCTGACTTTTGAAGCATCAAACTGTAGTACGTAAAAGTCAGCCAAAACTTTAGGAACAACCTAGTAGTAACATTTGTATATTCGTTTAAGAACGTTCCACTTGTGGCAGATTTTGCAGAATAACTTTGACAATTTATGTTTTGGCGCAGTTCAAAAACGAATTGATAACGATATCAGTTTAAGATGTTTTTGGCATTGACGCTCTACATCAGTGTTGCTGATAAGCACTCTAGCAAAGAAGTTTATTGGTTAAAACTCTGCCATTGGTTTGAAATATGGTTTTTTTGAGCACAGAAGAAGATCATTTTTGATGCCACCAAAAACTGTATGGAGTTTAGAGCGAAGGATGTTGTCAGAAGCCGTGTAAACGACAAAAAATTAATCAGCCTCATTTGCCGTTTCTACCTACGTCTTTAAACAGCTGATTTGACAGCAAAACAGGTACTCTGTACCCAAAACAAAAGCGCGGTTCATAGCTAAATGAAGGAAAAAAATTTGGTAGGACATGGCTAGTCAAAAAACTATATAAAAAGAACATTTGAAGCTTACCTGTAACTTTCTGACAAAAAAAAAAACATTTTTGATTCATAAGGAGATGCTACGATTTACAATTTGCGTGACTAAAGTTAAATCTCCAGAAACAGATTTTTTTAGAATACATAAAAGGGAAAAGCGGGTAAAACTGTATTTGTTAGGTGTAATAGATGATCGTGGTTAAGCATAACAATAATTCTCCGGTTATCAAATAAATGTTTTTTAAATTTACATATAGAATTAGATAACTATTGTCAGATAAAAATGAACAAAAACAGTAATGTTGTAAGAGGATGTGCTAAAAAATTACTATGAAACAAAGATTGAAGAATGAGATGGCATAGTTGTTGCATAGGTCAATGTTCAGTTTTTTTAATTATCTGAAATGCTATTGGTACAGTTGAAAACGGTAACTGCTAATTCTTTGTGTCAAGAATTCGGGGGAAAAAGTTCTAAATTGGTGGCACAGAATTTACAAAATTGTTTAAATGTATGAATAACTAAACTGTGGGGGCTCATTTGCTAAATTTATGTTTCTTATATCAGCAAGTATTTACATGATGACAAATCACTGCTCTAGCAGGGCGCTTATTTTATGACTGAATCCGACGCCGGTTTTTCAGATTGGCAAATTTATAAAATAACACGTGTATAAAAATTTTAATCACAGCAAAAGTATAAATAAACATTTCTGCAAAGCCCTGAACAGCTATACCTAAAAAAAGAAGGGTCTAATTATTCCTTCGTTTATTTTGAAAATTATTTATTTTATGAACTATATTTGTATTGCAGTCTATCGTACCAAATATTTTTGAAATAGTACACATTTTTTGACACCTATTTTGACAAAAAAATATTCCGGAAGTATTGCAAAAAAAAAAAAATAAATAAAATTGGGCTGAAATTCTATTAATGTGATCGACAAGATTTTCTTCTTATTTTTTCTTCTTTTACACTTATTCGGTTACTTGATTGCTTCAGAAAAAAAACCTGTATTAGCAAAATTGTGAAGAAGAATTTTTCTCAACTGTACTTTGCTGAGAATGAAGCGGTTAGTAATTACGACCAACTTGAGTTGAACACAAAAAACCCAAAGTATTACATATTGGGTGCAGAGCTGAAATAGTAGACAGTAACTTATCAGCAAAAAAAAAAAAAAAGAGATGGTAAGCACAGTACGAGCGCTAAATTTATAATACAAAAAAACTTCAACACTAAAATGTTATTTTATCAGTATGCAAACATTACAAAATTTTTTTAATAATCGACTTAGTTATGTTTCAAATGTCTTTTTTTTTTCTATACTGATAAACAAAGGTTTAGGTTTCTTCTTTCATAATTTCACCTGCATCTATTCGATGTCTAAAATGTCACAAATAGCTTTTTTTTCTTGCTGTTGTGCAAAATTTTCATTGACAGTTAATACTTCTTTATAATAATCAAACTTGAAGCGCCAGTTTTTTTTATAATAAAGAACTGCTAAAATAATAATAAAAATTTATGATTGCAAAAAAAAAGAGAAACTTAACTCAACCTTGATTGATTCCTGTCAGATTTTGCTCTACGTTTTTTTCTTTATTCTTGATTGGCAATAATTACCGAAACAGATTTTTTGTTTATTAAGTCTTGTATTAGAGATACTAAACATTACAGATGAAAAACTGTTATTTATTTGCTTTAATGTTTATACATTTGCTTTTCCATTTTTTTTTCTTGAAAGACAAGATTACATGCTTGAAGAAAATTTCTGTATGATTCAACATTATCAGTTGATGAAATAAAATAAA